GTCTTTTATTCCTTACTGATGAGGTTTTAATGCCGACAGCAGTCTGACTAGGCTTTGGTGACACCTCCAAGCAGGGAGAACCAATATCCCCACTGTTTTCCAGTTCCCCTTGCAGAGCACTGTACCTGTTATGTAAGGACAGCTGGGGGGGCAGGGGAATTGCCAGGCAGTTGTTGCACTTGCCACGCCGAGCAGGGACCTTGTGCCATCGTCCCCTAATTCCTCCATTCCCTGATCCCCTCTAACCTCTCCACTTCTTCTTTCAACTCTGCCACAACCAGATTATGAAAGTTGTCAATTTCCCTCTCACTTTCCCTAATTTTTCTTAACCTACTCACCTCCTCCCTGAGCTCCAACACTTCATCCTGGAGCTGCACCACCCGGCTTAGCAGGTCATCAACCTGCTCGCACCTCACACAGCCATCCTCAGGATTGCTCCCAGCTACCAGGGAAAAGCTATGACATTCCTCACAGCCTGTGACCTGAACACCAATATCCCTTCGAGTGGATGCAGAAAGCACAATTCTCCTTCTCCGGGAAGCCACCATGACTCCCTGATAAGGTGGACCACTTCAATCCCGTCCAACCAGCTGTAAGCAGCAGCAGTTGTCCCCTCGTTAGGCAGGAACAATAGGCTTGCTCGCCTCCTTCTCGGTGGGCAAGGACTAGTCGTCGTTGGCTATTGATAGCCCAGTGAGCCGCGGTTGTGCTGGCACTGCCCTGGCTCTCCCAGCAACCCGCCTACGCCTGCACCACCCCCAACATCGGCAGATCTGGTCCCGGCTAGAAAACGTTTCGAAAAATCCCCAGAAAAGAGCTTTTCTTCGGCTTTTTTTTTTTTTTTATGCAGCAGCTCTCCCCAGCCTGTCTTAGCTGCTCTCATGCAGAATGAGAATGCATAAGCAAGAAGAGAACGGGTCCATGGTCATGGAATTTATTCTACTGGAATAAATATTTTAAAATAATTACATATTTACAATCTAGAATATAGTCATTTATATCAACAGCAGAAATAGCAAAAAACTGTAAAAGTGCACAAACTCTCTGTAAAGCAAATACTAATGTTAACAAATGAACTTAACTATTTCAGAAAAAATTGCAAGCCAATTTTATTCATAATAAAAGACAATATTTTAGGTGGTATTTTCTTTTGTCCGTTTCAGTTTCATTTGTAAATAAATCCTGTGGGTTTTTTCCCTCTGGAAGTGACAGTTTAGATTGCTTTCTAAATTAAATGGTTCTAAAATGGTCATTTTCCAAATAGCGACACTGAAACGAGCAAAAATCTGGTACAGAACGTTTTGCTGCTGACTTGTGTGAAGTTAAATCTTTGTTTCTGAAGAAACCATCAATTCAACTCCTCACAGGATTAAGCAGATAAAAGCATGCACATGAATGCATATGTTTTATCCTCAAAAATATGTAAAAATGAATATACCAAGCCAGTGTTTGTACATTAGGGATATTATTTTGCCTCAGAGTATTTAATTGGTGACTCTTATATAAGACTATTAATGCAACAAAGGATAAATAGAAATTATATTCTGTGGATGGGGCAGAAGCCATAAGCTGCTCTAGAGAAATGAGAGGGATATGCCTGGTCATATTAAGCATAGCAGTTAAGAACGATCACTATGTAAACCTAATGTCTTAATGGCATTAGTAAGGTATTTTTTTAAAAGGTACAATGCAACTCAGGGACGTGTCTGTTACTCACCAAACTCCACCAAAAAAAGTTTAATTACATAAAAGAAATCTATTTATTTTAGGAAGTTATATGTTATTTTTTTACAGACACTTAAAGAAATCAGGCAAATAAATACATTTATGGAGAAAAAAACAGTTACTCTTGCACCAATTTTAAAAATAAGCCAGACAGTAAAATAATAATCACTGAACTAATCTGAACAAAGCCAAACAGGTAACAGTTCAGGTGCAGCTGATTTGGAGAAAGCAATGCAACTCAAAACCAGCTCTTGGTCAGCTTGAGTTCTAGTGCCATCTGCTGAAATAACAGTATTTTTCCCCTTGCAACCACAGCTAATATGCAATTTAATCCACTGCATTAGAGGGCAATATATGAAGAAAGGTCATAAAGATGATGTACTTCAGTAATCAAAGTGCACATCCAGAGTGCCATACACCGAACCTAGTAAACTGAGGACCTTCTCTTGAATGATGTCAACCTGCTCTGAAGGGCAATAGTCATCCAAACTTGATCTGCAACAACGGATTGTAAAAAGCATGAGAGAGTACAAACATCGCCACCATCGCCACATTTTATATTCTTGTAATGCTCTGAGTCTAGGCTGAAGCTACTTTCAAGCTGTGGTGAGTTCTGCCTCCCAGCTATCTCTTCAAAGCCTAGTGCTGTGTTTCTCCTCACTACTTGCAACCATAAGAGTTTGTCTGAAGTTGAACAGCAAGTCTGGAGTAGTGACCTATTCGTTCCTGCAATTCTACTCTCTTCCCGAGTCAGACACAGAACATGTTGCCAGGTAAAGGTCAGGAGAATGATCTAATTAAAGGACTGGTGGAAAGTTAAAATTGAAAAATTAAAATGCTACTAGTAAAATAGGTAGGAAAACTTAAAAAAAAAGCCTTCACAATCCCTGGGATATACATTATTTACAGTATCTATTAATGATGCAAGGAGATACTAGTGAAAAAAGCAAAGCTGACACTTCTTGGATGTTATATCTGTCAAAATCTATATAAATTATTCTGTATTTTCACTGCAGCAGACAATAATTCTGTGGTTACTAGGAAATACAGCTTGCTTTCATTATAGGTATTAGCCATGCTATTTCTTGTTGACAAAAAGAATTTCTTGTCAGTTTCTATTTCAGCTATTGTTGCCTGTCCTTTAAGGGCACACTTAGTACTTCCGAAGTGATTAAATTACAGTAATTTTTCAACAAATACACCGTGGTCTTCAAATTAAGTTGTCCCAGCACAGATCCCTGGTTCTCCCAGATCTCTGGCCACAAACTCCATCCTGTTCTCCCAAATTATTTCCTTACAGTCCTGGAAGCATAACCTTTACCCCATACAAAACGTTACTAAAGCTTTCTAGAATATAAATTTCTTTCAGCCTATTAGATGGAAATCACTTCATTCAGAAGTTTCACTGAAAATAGAAATCTTTTCTGTAGTACAATGAATCCTTGAACAAGGAAGGTGTGATTTCAGCCCACATAGGCTTGTCTAAGCTGGCTTTGCTCTAACTAGTACAAGTAATAAAAATAGTGGACATGCATGAACCTGTGACAGCTATCACTCTCAACATACAGAAGGCCTCATCACAGGCTTTATACAGCCTGTGCTGAAGCTCATTAAGTCATCATGTTTTCACTGCTTTTGAAATCTGTGCTAGCTACTCTAAAGCCCAGTAAAACTGGCCATCGAAGCAGAACATTCCCTTAGCTGTGTAGATATTGTCACCACCTTATGATCAATATTTTCAAACGTCAATTTTCACTATACTGTAAGGCTTCCACTCTAAGATAGAATTTAAGATGTGCCAACCAGTGCTATATTGATAGAATCATTTAGCTTCATAAGCACAGTCTGAGGTTTTAAAGTAAAAGTATCTACAGAGTCTTACCGAGCAACTGTCACAAGTGTGGGCTTAGGCATATCTTTTAATAGAATTTTAATAGACTGTATGAGGCCTTCGATCTCCTCTTCGGTGCTAACATGGTGGGGAAGCTCCATATAATCACAGGTCAGACCAGCCTGATGGACCTACATGTAAATTAAACAGAGATTTAATTTCTGCTGATGAATTATTGATAAGGCTTAGCTGTGTAAAAAGTCTCTAAGATACCATCTCTAGCCCAGTAGGTAACTTACACCTCTTCAGGCAGCAAGAGTTGTCCTCCCTCCCTCCTACTCGTTCTTTAAACAAAAAGAATAAAATTCTGGAGGTTGTATGGATTGTTTCATTATCTCCAGTACACTGTAACTCTCCTATAAATTCAGAGTATGCTGCAGCCCTTGAAGATGATAGGTCTGGTCTTTTACAAATAGGTACCTGAAGTTAAGTTCAAAGAACATCAACAGACCCTGGTGAAATGGGTCAGGAAGCAGCTTTCACAGTAAGCAGCCTGACACATCACAGTCCTGAAAGATTACATTAATGTCATCTAAATGCAGACCAGCAGAGTAGAATTTTAAAAGCTTTAAAAAGAAAAGCTGGCCTAAGTAACAAGACATTAAAAAAAAAAGAAAATTACCAAAATCTCACCAAGTCCTGAATCAAGAAGCAAGTCTGAAATGAAGCATGATCTTTTCCCTCCCTGTTGAAGCTATGCTGTTGTAATCTATCTACTTTCTGCTCTTTTACCTCATCACCTACCATTTCGTAGTCTGGGCTTTCCATTCTGGTTTTCAAACTATGAACTAGTTGAACAAGTGGCTTCATTCTGGAGTTAAAACAAAACCAAAAAAACCACAAAAGAAAAAAAAGAAAAAAAAAAAAGAAGAAAGTAGAAGTCATCATGGCCTAGGATTTGAAAAAAAACTTTGTCCCTCTGTGTCATCTTGCACCTGAGAAAAATTGAAATAATCAATACTATTGTACTGTTTCACCAGGTCTTTCTTAGCACACCCCTGTACTCATACCTGCCTCCAGCAAGACCTCTTTGCATGTCTTTTGGGGCAGACCCGGAGAGAAGCTGTTGTAGCTTAAAGTTGTATGAAATCGATAGAAAATCCTTGTGGTCACTGTTATACAGATCTGTGTACAGTAACTGCTGCATTTGATGGAGAAAATAAATGATTTTCCTATCAAGAGACAGCTCAGACTTTTGCTGTTTCTTTTCAGCTGAAAACATTAGTTTAAAAGCATATCAAGTTCTGCTGAGATGTTTTGTGGACACTGTCGCTCCAGTAGAGCCTTTCATTCCCTTCCATTTTTCCACAGAATGCAGAGCCTTCGGGAGCACCAAGTGTTTCTCCATATCATTCACAGTTTGTTGCTTTTTTGAGAGGTTTGCTTCACACAGATTACTGAATTTTTAGTCACCGTATCTCCCCCCCTCCACAGGAAACAGAACTTGCATGAAGTTGTACAAGGCTGATCTTGGAAGGCTTACCATGGCCCTGAAGACAGCAGGCTGCCTTTTCTTTTCTTTTGTCTGAATCTTTCTCTTCTAGAGCTAAAAGAAACATGGTAGCCTTGCATAGATTCTATCCAGCTTCTCTCCTTTTCTGTTAGCAAAGTGCTGGGCTAATCAGTTCTCAAACTACTGTTTGCATTTTAAGCCACTTAGAAATCTCCTACCCAGGACACGAAGCCCACTTCTGTAGAGTGTCTTCATCATCACTATCACATAAATCTGCAAAAGCTGCTTCCAGATCTTCTAGCTGATGAACACGGTTTTCAACACAATCCAGCAAGTCCTCCTTTAAATAAGCATATATAAAAGTACGTCAGGAAAAAAAGAGGTAAGAATGTCATGGCTTACCCTATGATTTAAATTCTGAAATGATTGATCTACTGAAAACAGGGAATCAGAAGGAACTGATTACTAAAGAACATCTTTTCAAGATGATCAGGATGAATGCCTGCAGAAGCTGGTATACCTTCAGAATAAATCACCTCTCTGCTCTGTCTTTCCCACAAGAAATAAAAAAAAAAAAGCCACATCTACATGCTGGTAGGATAAGAAGCTGTTTATGACTAATTGTTGGATTTGTTTCTATAGCACTGAAATTCTGAGATGAGTACAAGCTTTACATTTTAATAACAAAAAGATAATTTAATTTTATAAGTTGAAAAAAAAATAATGCCTAAATCAAATGTATTTTCAGAAAAACAAAACAAAACTGGCCATTTGATGCTTTGAGGTTGTTTCAACTTTGCGTGCCTGAAAAAACACAGAATTAATTTAAAATGTCAGTTATTGCTCTGATCCTGCAAAGGTTTATGCCTTTTTTTAAAAAGGTCAGAACACATAAAGAGGCAATCTTCTTGGAGCGATGCTGCATACATGAACACAGTTTTGCATGCAATCATTTGCAGAAAGAGATCCTAAATAACATCTAAAATGAAAAGCAATGCTTGGCATATTTGGTATTAAAAATGCGCAGTGCAGTGATGTGTGAAGGAAAATTATTAAAAAGCACATTGGAATAGATGGGTAACAATTAAGAACATAAGAATTCCCTGTTAAGATTCTGAAGGCTGTATCATATAACAGATGCTGCTTCTTTTGGCCAATGATGTCAACTTTGGGCTAATTTTTAAGAGGAGCCAAGAGTATCAACCATTCATGAAGTACAGGTTTAGGATCCTATCCTGGGGTATGAATAAGATACTTTTCCAAGCAGCATCACCAACTAACCTTAAAGACACATCCGATCCCTCTCTATACTACTTAAAAACCAGGACCAAACAAAAAACCCCCAAGCAACACCCTACTATCTTGTAGTATGATAGAAATGTACATCTAACCATACTCTGGAACTACAAAGATGATTTTAAGAGACCAGACTTCTAAGATATTTTCTGAAACTTCGAAAAACATGAAGTTCACTAGTTTTTTACCTTCAAATTCTTTAAATTGACTGTTTCACTATAAAACCATCCATGAATCTGGTCTTGCCTTTTTCAGTTCTATACCTGCTCATTACTCACAGTCTGCTCACCATTTCAGATGCCTCCTATAACTTTTTGGCTTTTGTAAATAACTTATGCTCTGAAATTATATTTGGAACTTAAATCATAAGCATTTGCCCCTTTCACATTTAACTAACTTTTAAATAGGTAACTGTTTCAATTGCTGACTGACTGATTAAGAATCTTAAAAATCAATCTGACAATCTTCCACATATCTCCATTTCTTTATACACACATAGTAATTAGGAGTCATTAATCTGTGATAATTATATGTGTTCAATCTCTCTGTAACAGTGTTCAGATGAGATTACAAAAGCAAAGATAAGATCTTGTTTAGAAATTACTTGGTGTAATGAACATTAATGTGGCTGTCTCCATGGTTTGGGCTCAGGGCTGAATGACTATTTTGGCAGCTACAGCAGGCTTACATTTCCATAATTCAGAAGCATACAATGCATACCATGAAAAGTATATTACAGCAGTATAATACTGGCTTTTCCACATCTAAATAAATAGGTAAAATATCAGTCAGGCACTGAGCACAGCTCTGACTGTCAAGGAAGAGCAACTAAAGCAAGAAAGAGGAAAGCCTGGAGGTAAGGAAAAAACCCCAACAACTTACAAAGAAACCAACCCAAACAAAGAAAATCCCAAAGCCCCATTAAGCCATAAAAAGAACAAGATTGCACATGACTTACTATGTTTTAATTTCTTCCTTGTCAATTACCACTTGTTTACAGAAATTAATTTTCACAGTAATGCTAAATATTTATCAGATCACATGTTTAACCAAAATGTTTAATAGGAAGGAACTCCTCAGATGCTGCTGATTAGCATTCAGCATGCTGCATAGCTTAATTGGAAACCACTTCATTAAGCACCTTTCATAGGTTCCTTCCTTGTTGTAAGAGTTAATCAAAAGAATAATTCCCTCATATGTCCCACAAGGAAATACCATACCTCTGTTGCATTTCTATGAGGCTTCTTGAAATTGTACAACTCTTGCAAAAGCTTATATTCTGCCTTTGAAAAAGAAAAAAAAGAGGCAAAAAATTAGGCTCTTCAAATGAGAAATGAAATCCTCAAAGACCTCCTCAGTTTTTTTTGACCATTCCTCTACTCTAGCACTGCAGAGAGCTCTCTATAAATGCAGATAAGGAAGAGGCTGTGAGACTTGAGAAAGTAATACCTCATGGCCTCAGTGGACAGGTAAAGGCTTCAGGCTGGTTGGCCAAGTTCACAAGTAAACTATTACAGGGGTTTGTCAGCCCTACTCCTTGTTATTCAAGTTTAACTAACTAAGGATAAAGAGATCTCATTATTTATGAAACGGCATTCAAAAGGTGAACACTTATTAATTTTTCAGGAGTAGAGGGAGAAAGAAAGGGTAGACGAGTCAATTTTTACAGAAATACAAAGCACCTTTAGGGTAATGTTTTGGATTTTAGACTTTTTTGGTGAGAAGACACTACTCTTCTGTACTGGTGAACCATGTTTGCTTTTTAGCTTTTCCCTGTATTCTTAAATTTCAAGTGTTAACTTGTGAAAAATCTTCGGATAGAATTATTGTAATCTACAATAGAGGAAACCTAGTTAAGAAATACTAACTGCAAATGAAATGGTTATCTCAAAAAAGGCACACTGGGTGCTCTGCACAAGTCCACCTTCAAAAGTTCTTCCTAGAGCTGAGAACCTATCATAGCACAAACCCCAAAAAAACACTCAAGAAACAAAATAAAAAAAAACCACAATCACACCACCAACCTCCAATAAAAACAATCAAATAATAAACCCCCAAAACTCCTCCATTATCTTATTCATAGAATCATAGAATGGTTAGGG